CTAATAAATTCATACAAATTCTACAACCAAAAAGAATTCACTGAATTTGCTCTCTATAAGAGTAGCTCTCATTCATTTGACAATCCATATGAAATATGTTAGATAAGTGACAACTATTTGAGACTGATGAAAAAAAAAGCTCGTATCAAATGGGATATATCTCAGAAAGCAATAAAAAGATATAACTTTGAAGATTTTCTTATTTTATATCCTATAACTCACCTAAAAAATGTTTGCTTCAAATGAGATAAAAACTGCCAAGTCTTTAACAATATCAAAAAATACCTTTTAATCATATATATCATTGCAGCACCAACTAAGGGAAGCCCCTTATCCTATACACAACAATATTAGGAGAATCCTTAAGAGCATTACCAGTACATCATAATGAAGAAAACAAAGATAACCCTTTATATTATGTTAATTAAAAATTGATATCAGTATACATATGCTTTTCTCCAATTGGCAAGTACTTTTTGGAGTTGATTGCTGCTCGCCATTAAATGTTTTCTCATAAAATCACTTTGATCTAAAAAATTGATCTATTGAAGTTCTTAATTAAAAAACCAGCAAATGGGTAGTGATACCCCTATACTTTGAGATTACCTATATTTCTCAGAAAGCAATAAAAAGATAAATCTTTGTAGATTTTCTTGTTATATATCCTATACCCGCAATTCACCCCTCAATAATGATTTATTTCATAAGTAAATCTTACTCATTCATTAAAATGAGAAGTTGCAAATATGTGAACAATATTGCGATAGGGGTAATTAATCAAATTCAACCAGTCACCAAATCTTTCGAAAGCAGGAACTGGCATTGGTCTCGTCTTCAAAATGCTTAAGAGAGGTATAGCATTTATTTGGATTGACTGAACCTCCAACAAAGAATGAAACCCAACATGAACTTTGGTGGAAGGTTTCCAAATTGTCATTTCAATAGAAACTATTTAGATTTTCAGCAATTCTCATTTTGTCAAAAATCAAGTATTGTGCATATATAAGATCAACATGCTTGAACTTAACTCGTTATCAAAAGTGGGTTCCCAAGCTCATAAAATAACTTCAGAATGTCACTCTAATGCATCATACAGGGGACTTGTATTGTCACTCTAATTCATCTCGATAATGTTGCACTAAGGTAGCAAGGAGAAGAGAATAAGTCCATAGGGTACATAAAGAAGAGAGGGAATATGAGAAGATTAATTTTCAATTTATTTACCAATTGACCCAGATAAAATCCATGGCTCCACTACTTAAAGAAATAGGATTACAAGATAATAATTAAATCAAAAATTAAAATCATATCATATACGAAAAGAAATCAAATTCAATCTAACATTATCTAAAAGGATAATTCATTCAACAACAACAACATCAAACTTTTGTCCCACTCGGCTACATGAATCCTCTTTCACCATTGTGTCCGGTTAAAAGTCAAATTCTCATTTAAATCTAAAAGAGAAAGATCACTTCTAATATTTTCTAACCAAGTCTTTTTAGTCTACCTCTATCTTTCTTAACATAAGTCGAATCTAATACCTTAACTTTCCTAACCGGGTCATCAGAAGGCCTCTGTTCAATGTGACCAAACCATCTAAGGCGACTCTCTCTAATCTTTATCTTCCATTGGAGCTACTCCAACCTTTTCACGTATATGCTCATTTCATATCCTATCTCTAAGGGTCAAGCCACGCATTCAAGCATCCTCATCTCTTCAACACTTAACTTAGTATTATGCTTCTCTTTTAATGGCCAACATTTTGCACCATAAAACATTGCAAGTCTCACCACCATCTTATAGAACTTTTTCTTAAGTTTGAGGGGTACTTTTCTATCGCACAATAAGCCCGATGCATTCGTCCACTTCAACCATCCAACTTGAATTCTGCTGATAATATACCCATCTATTTCACCATCACTCTGAACAATAGAACCATGATATCTAAAACATGTACTCTTATTAATGACTTAATCGCCCAAAGTCACAATCCCCTCACTAGGGCTATTGCTACTAAAATTACACTCCATATATTCAGTTTTAGATCAACTCAAGCGAAGACCTTTAGACTCTAAGGTTGACCTCCATAATTCAAGTTTACTATCAACTCCCTCTCTAGTCTTAAAGGATAATTAATTCTAATTTAATATAAAATAAATATAAAACCCTAGCAAAATTGAAATAAATATAAGCAAATAATAAAAATCTTTTTTTTTATGTTGCAACAATTTCCTTAAGATAAAACACCTATCATAAAGAGTAATAAAAAAATACTTATTAAACTTGATGGCCATGGTAAAGGGGGGTGGAGCTCTTTTATTAATATCCTTGGAATCTATACCAAGTGTAGAATTGACAAATAAAATAAACTTAAGAGGCATTTGATTCAACAGACTTAATGCATCATACATTTTTCTTGGAACTATACAATCACATAGTTGTGGGATCAAAGGTAGCACAACTCACTATGGCACTATGTATAATAATCTGATGATGGCAATTGCGGATAGACAAACTTAAATAGTAATTAAACCAGTAGCAAATAGAAAGTTGAGACATTACTTGTATCTGCAAATATAGAAGGAGAGCCACAATAATGGATAGAGGCTCCTCAAAATTAGGTGCAATAATGACCTCTTAAAAAATCTCTTGTTCAAGCTTTGGCTTAGAATTATTTTCAAAAACAAAATCATTGTGTTTAAGTTCAATTACATCATCACACATAAGCTCAAGTATATAAGGAGAAGGTATTGGGATTGTAGGAGTTATGGAGAATGAGAAAATGAATAGAGAAAATTGAGACATGAAACTTACCTCCCCAAGTTGAGCAAATATAAGTCATTCATTACATTCTCAAAACTTTCATAAGGAATGCTAGATTCATTGGAATATGTGGAAGCATGTACATTTTCATAAAATCTCATATGATCAAATAATTGAATGATTACTTGATTATAGCATCTAAAACATTCAAAAAATATATATTTTACCAAATGATTGTTCGCAAAATCTAAATCAAGTCAGAAATAATCATCAGTACTTGAATGGTTGTGAATGAAACAAGCTACTAAAATAATAATGTTGATTACATAAGGAATATAGATAATTTAATAACTCTACAGAATAATATTTTTGTGTTATCATATATCTTTCACATATGAACTATGCAATTAAAATACATCAATTTTCTTAGCCATAGCAGTGTCAAGAGACAACAAATGTATATGGCTTATAGCTAAGGTTTATATGCCATTCTTATCAAGCACCTTTGATACTAATTTGGTAATGATTGCCGCAAAGAGAGGTTGAAAGATAAATTTCAATACCTTAAAGTTTCTATGATTGAAAGATAGCTTTGTCGACTATTGCAATGAGACAATAGAAGAGAAAGAAGAAATGTCAAATAATTAAGAAAACATTAGGCAGAGGCATCAGTTGCAATTGAAGAATGAGGCTATAATCATGATAGCTAATTGCTCGTGAACAAAAAGCATTGATGGAATTGCAATTAGATTTTTTTTATCTGTGATGAGAGGTAGCAAGGCTTCAGGTATTGGATAGTTCAACTATAGTGGACATGAATGGCCATTTGATCGTTGGACATGATAGTAGGTACTAGGTCTAATGCACTACGATTGAGAAACAAGATGCTATTGTGAATGAGATCCAACTCTGAAAATACGGGTGATCATTTAAAAGTAATGCAATGATAAGGGTTTAGGGTGGTACTTGAAAATGTTAGCAATAAACATGAAGAATCCACTTTTATACAGCTTGGTTCAAGAATGGATGCGTGAGTGCAAGTCAACATGGATACAACAGCAAGGTTTGCTCTAACACCAAATGATGCTACATTAAAGAAACATCGAGAAAAGAAAATTAGAATCTAAAGTCCATCAAGAGAGAAAAGATAGGGATAAGAAAGGAATATTTAATTTCCATCCATTTATCAATTCACATACATAAAATTCATGAATTTCCTATTTATAAAAAAAAAGGTTACAAGATAAGAAAAAATCAATTTTAAATCAAATCTAATTCTATATAGAAACTAGAATTAAATAAAATCCTAACAAATTCAAATTCTAATTGAAAATAATACAAAAGGATAATTAATCAGAAAAATAAAACAAATAAAAAAATCAAAATAAAATTGAAATGAATCCTAACAATTTAGAAAATAATATGACATAATTTATAGGATGAACAAAACAATCATGATCAAAACCGGTTAACTACCCCTTTAAACTCATCCATCCATGTGAGATACCAATCATTCAACTATCTTAGCTATATCTGTACCTTTCTCTAAAGCTTTTAACAAGCTCAAGAACCTGTAATAAACATTTTTTTCATTTGATGGACCATGAAACCAAATTTGGATGTTTTTTATTTCCACACTTTCCCTATCTATCAGTAATAACTACCAAAGATGTATTGACCATGATTAATTTAACAAAAATTAAGATATTCTAAAATAAAATATTCAAATAAAAAAAGAAAATAAAGACGATCATAAATTAACTTTAATCGGTTCTTGAGTAACAGAATGGCAAAGAATTAACCACATGCATATCCCAAACTGCAATGTTGTTAACATAATTATATATCTAATTCTAACGAAGTTACTCTTATGTTACCAAAGCTTGTAAAGAAATAGCTGCAGTCATCATAAATTAACAGGAACACCAACTTTCATTTTCTATGAACTTTGCTTCAATATTAGATGCCCAATGAATAAATAAAAAAATGAATCATTCACAAATGCAAAACTGACAAGACATATTCAAGAAACAAACCAATTTGTTCCACATAATTGCTTCATCAGATGTAAGGAATTCTAAAACATATTAACATTTTTTTCCCTTTTTTTTTTTGTAACATGATCGAGCAGGAAAGTCAAGAAAGTTCTGACTAAAGTACAATATAAAAATATTTCTTTTGAACAAAGGCATATTAAGATTCAATAAAAATAAGGATATGAGATTGATACTGACCCCTCGGAGTAATCTGCCTGAAGAAGATCAAGATATGTATCCCACTTACTGCCAATCACCTAATAATTAGATCCAAGTTGAAATTAGTAGTTGCCAATAACCAATAATCCAATGAAATCAAATAACATCGACAAAAGGAAACAAAATTCATAAAAAGAAGACGACAACAACAACATCAAGCCTTTATCCCACTACGTGGGGTCTGCTACATGAATCATTTTTCTCCATTGAGTCCTATTAAAGGTCAAATATAGTCAAAAGGGATTAGAAGAAAGAAAATAAGTGGAAGAAGAAGCTTATAAGTTAATACCTTTCCACAGGTAAAGCAACGAACAGGGATGATCATCTTCGTTGTCTTCCTTGAGCAATTTCACGGCAACCAAGGTCAGTTATTCCACCAAAATAACTCTTTGCTCAGCCCTTCCAAGAGAAAGAATTATATTATTCGCCTCAATAGGACTGTAAGATTGAGCCAGTTTGAAATTTTAGAAATTCTCAACATTTTTTTCAATAAGATTCAACTCAATAAATATCATTTGAACTTTAATATTGTATTTAAATTATTTGTCTACTAAGTTATATTGAATTTTCAGCAAGTCATTTAATTCTAATCGATCCTTGATGAAAATATATTGTCCATTTGAAAATGTGAAGTAATAGAAATTTAAGGTAATCTCAAAATAAATGAATAAATCATTCTAAATAAGCTCTCAACAACACGAGAGAAACAAAGTTGATAATTTAAAATCCAACAGTGGGATCATTTAAAACAAAATTTGAAGCATAGGCTCTATTTTATTGTCATCTAAATTAAGCAGCATTTGGGTGTGATCTTCGCATGAATTTGTTCTTCACAATGAGAGCAAATCAATATAGGTGACAATTTTTTAATGGAAGGCTATGGGAACTGCAATAATCTGAAAAGATATAGAGTTTAAATTCAGGTCGTAGAAAAAAGTGACAAAACAATTATTTTTGTGTTAAATGCTCTCTTTTAAAAAGCAATCCAAGGCCATATATAGCTCGTTATTTTATCACTTACTAGGTCATTGAAATTTCTCTTCTTCAATATACTTTTTAGAGAAGAATGCTTTTTTAATTTTAAAAATTGCTACTTTCTTGGTATGTTGATAAAACTGGTTTATGAATTTGTTGGTTTGATAATCAATAAACGACCTCATTGAGTAGGTAAATGGAGTTTTAAGAATTCGAGTATGCCTCAAAAAGCTAACACAAAGAACTACATCAACAATAAAAATAAGCTTTTATCCCCCTGTAAGATCGGCTACATGAATCCTTTTTCTCAATTGTACTATGTTAAAAGTTAAATTCTCATTTAAATCTAATAAAAAATGTCTTCTAATATTTTCTAACCAAGTTGTTTTAGGTCTATCTCTATCCTTCTTATCATAAGTCAAATCTAATACATCTAATTTCCTAATCGGGTCATCGGAAGGTCGTTGTTTTAGGTGACCAACCCATCTAAGGCGACTCTCTCTAATTTTATCTTCCACAGGAGCTACTCCAACCTTTTCATGCATGCTTATTCTATATCTTATCTCTAAGAGTAAAGCCACTCATCCACTTGAGGATCCTCATCTCTGCATAACTTAACTTAATATTATGCTTTTCTTTTAATGGCCAACATTCTGCACCATAAAGCATTACAGGTCTAACCACCATCTTATTGAATTTTCCCTTAATTTTGAGGGAGACTTTTCTATCACACAACAAGCCCGATGCATTCCTCCATTTCAACCATCCAACTTGAATTCTACTAATAATATCACCATTTATTTCACCATCACTCTGAACAATAGACCCAAGATATCTAAAACGTACACTCTTATTAATGATTTGATCAGCCAAAGTCACAATGCCCCCACTAGAACTACTATTAGTAAAATTACATTCCATATATTCAGTTTTACATCTACTCAAATGAAAGTCTTTTTACTCTAAGGTTGGCCTCCATATTCAAGTTTACCTTCAACTCCCTCTCTAGTCTTATCAACAACATGAATATCATCAGCAGAAAGCATACACCTAGGTACAACCTCTTGCAAATGTCTAGTAAGAACATCCATGACTAAAGAAAAAAGATACGGGCTTAAGGTTGATCCTTGATGTAATCCAATTAAAATAGGGAAATACTTGGTCAACCCACCTTTTATTTGGACACAAGTAACAGCTCCTGCATACATATCCTTAATGACTTCAATATAAGCATTATTAATCTCATTCTTTTCTAGAACTCTCCATAGCACTTCTCTCGAAACTTTATCATATGTTTTCTCTAAATCAATAAATATCATATGCAAATCCTCCTTATTCTCTCTATACTTCTCCATCAAACCTCTTAATAAATGTATTGCTTCCATAGTAGACATACCTTGCATGAATCCAAATGATTTTGATAAATGTTAGTATAATGCCACAACCTATGCTCCATAACTCTCTCTCATAGTTTTAAAGTATGATACATTAACTTAATTCATCTAGAATTCGCACAATATTGTGCATCACCTTTATTCTTAAAAATATGAATCAACACTCATTCTTCAGTCATCTGGCATCTTTTTAGTCTTGAAAATAATATTAAAAAATTTAGTAAGCCAAGAAATTCCTTCTTCTCCTAAGCATTTCCACACCTTTTATGGGATATCATCAGGTCCAACAGCTTTTCCACACTTTTTTTAAAGCCTCTTTAACTTCGATTTTACTAATATGTCGCTAAAAATAAAAATCTTTATTTTCATTTAGTGTGCAAAGGTCACTAAAGTCAATCACATTCTCATAATCTTCATTGAGGAGTTTATAAAAATATCTCATCCACCTTTATTGAATATCTTCTTCTAATAAAAGCATTTTAATCTTCATTCTTAGTACACTTGAAAAAAATCCTTACTACTCTTATCTCTTTGTTTGGCTAACTTATACATATATATTTCGTCCTCCTTAGTATCTAATCCATTATATAAATCATTAAAAGCTAAAATCTTTGCATCGCATATTGCTTTCTTAGACACCTTATAGGCTACTTTCTATTTTCCCAATTATCAAAATTTTTATATCTAAATCAATTTTTATAACAAATCTTCTTATTTTTTATCTTTTTTGAACATTTTGATTCCACCACCAGCTATTTTTACTATTAGAAATTTTTCTCTTAGATATACCAAGCACATTTTTTGCAACATTCTTAATATCAGTAGCTACTTTTTTTACATAACATTAGCTTCCTTATGCACAGACAAAATCTAAAGATCTAGTATATTACTCTCAAAAATATTTTGTTTGATATTCTTTAAATGCCTCCATCTAATCATAAAACAATGTTTTACTTTATTTGTTATTTTATGTCATTTCATCATAAAGTCCAAAAATAATAAGCTGTGTTGGGTACATAACCTTTCACATGGAATAACTTTACAATCTTTACAATCTAAACGATCCATTTTTCTTATAAGAAAATAATCAATTTGAGTTTTACTATATCCATTCTTATAGGTTCTGAAATCTCCTTCAATGAACTACATCATGGAACAAAAATTTGCTAAATTTGAATCTTAATGACTTTGAAAATTTTAATTCTAGTGATGATTTATGTTGGCAATCAAAATTTTTTACCTGAGCAAAGAGAATATTTTTCAAATAATCCCATGGGTGGTTGGGAAAAATTCTTGTTCCATTAGAAAATAATTCAATAACAAAAATAATGGTTTGTCTCCTGAATTTGAACACCGCATTGGATTATATTCTATTTTGAAAAAGATGTGTTGCTCTATGACCATATAGAATCTTGTATGCATTCTGTCATTAATATTTTATTGGATATTCATCAAATTTTAGTGTAAGGGGTGATAAACCACTAATCCAAAACCCTTATTTATGGATGATTAGTATATTAGGATTTTTGAGGACTTAACCCGCAAAGATGACTAAGCCTTTTAGATACCTTCACGAATAAAATGAAACCTCCAAGATCTATCAAAGTGATGCAAATTCAAGTAATTAGAATTAGATCATTAATTTAGAAGTGAAACCTCCAAGTTCTATTATAATGAAAATCCTAGTTAGATTTAGATCCTTAAATTAAAAGTGAGGTTGGCCCCACAAATGAAAGAGTAAATTTGAAACTTGATCAATAGAGTTGGATAGCCGTTTACATTAATTATTACATTGTCTCCTTGCATAACTCATATAATAATCCCCTATAGGGATTTTATATGAGGGTCATGTCCAGGACTAATTTCCTTCAAAACATTCAAAAAAGCATGCCCTCTTGGAATTTTTTAGATTATAGTAGCCTTTAATTAACACTTAGTCTATTGGGTAAATTTTAGTGAAAACTCTATCTAGCACTTGGTGAGCTCCATAGCTTTAGAATAAACATGCCTCTAGGTCTTTTAGATAAGTGGAGCCTATCTATTACTTACCAATCTAAGATCAATAAATTATGGAGCCATTTTGGGGACTTTTTAATAAGGACCCTACCAACAACGCTAGGTATTTTTTGGATATTCCCAACACACATGCCCACTAAGTTTTTGGATTAGCAGAAATCCTATTTATCATATCTTAAAGTCTATTAATTATGGAATCCCCTCAGAGACTTACAATGAGAACACTATCCAGCACCAACTATCCTTTAAAATTTCTAAAACAGCATATCATCTTCAGAACTTTCAAATGCGAACTATGTCCAATAATAAGCACCCTCAAGAGATTCAAAACCAACATGCCAACCAGGGTCTATTCGATAAGTGAAGATTATGTCTGTCATTTATACTCCCGAGATCAACAAATTAAGGAACACTTCTAAGGGCTTCCAACGAGGATATAATGTAAGAATAACAAACCTTTTAAGACTTCCAATGTATCCTCCAAGGTTATTTAAATGATGAGAATTTTGTCAATCCTAACGCACTTTAATGGTCCATATGATGGGTTAGGAAAGTTGCTATTTGATTTTAGAAATAAAACAAAACATGTAGTTCTTGTTTCAAATGACATTTAGTTAGACTTAACATTCTAATTCATATTAAACGAGTTTCCAACATGATGATGAGCCCTTCTAGAGATTTTTAAATAAAGAGACATTTGTCAATTGTGTTATCCAAGCAATAATGGGATCTCTTTAAGACTTTTTAATAAGCAGTGTTGGCTGTCAATAATAGATTTTGATAAGTGAACTTCTATTAACAATGAAGGGTGATTGCTAGTATCAAGAAAAGGATGTCAACAAAAGTTAGAAGTTTTACATCAACCAACGTAGAGTGATGATAGAAATTGGAGTAGTTCGGTGGCAAACATTTGATGTAAATACAGGGCAATAATAGGCATGTGCCCTCCTAGGGCCCACGTAATATGTGTTGAATTCTCTGATTGACAAATATAAGGTACAATCTTGGAGTTCTTAATGCCATCAATGTGTTTAAGCGACAGTCTAGTGAATCACAAGAAA